CACTTAAAAAAAAAAAAATTAATCCACACCAAGCTAAACACAAGGTATACTAATGATTTGAGGCACCCCTTGTATCCACATCATATTACCTTTACCTTTTTCATTCTTTACACAATCCCTTTATTGATAAACCACTTTGAGCCTCGTCTAACGATGGACCTTTATTTTTTCAACCCACATTTACCTAACCTTAGGATGGGATGGCGTGCAACTTATGCAATTTTCAAAGCCAAATACAAAAGCTTGAGTAATTTTTACCAAAGTGCCAAAATCTTAAAAAGGTTCAAAAATAATAATAATAATAATAATAATAATAATAATAATAATAATAATAATAATAATAATAATAATAATAATAATAATAATAATAATAATAATAATAAAAGTGTACAAAAGGGCAAGTGTTGCAATGTCTTTGATATGAACATGTCTTTGATACGAACACGTCTCGGATAGCGTCTCTTATCAAATGCTCGGCACCGTTCTTGAGAAATATGAATTCCAAGCGAGTGATAGACTGCATGACCGGGATTGCCCACACTTATACGAAAGAAAATTCAAAAACAAATTTTAAATGCAAAAACAGAAAAATGAGTTCAAAAGTGAGAAACCTCAAGCATACAAATACCAAGATTCAAATGCAAGGTTGCACACCTTGGGGGCTTATCTAGGGTCTTGAGCCTTTATCCCTTCTTCATTAACCTTTATCCTAACCCCGTTACAACCTTGAAAGACCTCCTTGAGATATACACACACTTGTGCGAGGTTCGGCTAGAGCTACGTTCGGCCTGATTCCTAACGGATACGTAGGCAACCTCACATTGGGGTGCGGCCGTAATAAAAATGCATTCATCACATTCATCATACATTCACGCATGATCATATCAAGGGATTTCCAATGTTCATCCTTATCCATTTAGAGCTAGACTTGGGGGCTTGATCCTTACTTCATTAGCTTACCCAGCCTAAGAGTCACCATCATTTGGCTCTTCTCAATATTTTCCCACACCCTTAGCTTTTACAGCCTAACTTTAGTGTCACTTTCACACACATCACAAATACATAGCTAAATAATCCTTCCCTTAGAAACCCTTTGTGATAAAATCTTACCACAACTTAATTAGAAGCATACCTTGTCATCTTAGAATCACTCATTATCATAATCATCATTGCATCACAAAGTATGAACTACTTAGCCTCCACCCCTAAGTTACCTAAATACTTTCATTATCGAATCATCAACTGAGATAGCCTAGGATGCTACAATCCTTGTACCATGAGATACAACATCAACGCATACACTTGATTAAGCTCATTCAACATGCATTATCACTCGATTCATTCTTTTCATCTTTTTTCCTTTGAGGGAGTTCAAAACTTCGTTTTCCACCTACACTTCACCCCATTTCATTTTCACGTCTTTCTTTTCGAGAGAAACTCGGTACACTCAGCTCCACAAAAATGACGGAAAATTTTGCAAAATTTTTGCCTTTTCTACATTTTTCCAGTGGCACGAGCACAATCACCATACAATGCACACACAAGTCATGCACATTGAATTGTGTCACCACATAGAGTTGAGTTTACACACACGAGTCGTATGTACAATGCACACAACAAGTCATAACACATTGAGTCGATTTGTTTTAAACATATCGATTCCAGTTGATTTAAACACATTGAGTCGCACAATGATTCAAGTAATAACACCAAGTCTTGGGTCAACCTCAAGGGAACTATAAACATGAACAAAGTCCTATAGTCCAAAATATAGATACAGGTACACCAAGTCCCTAGCGGACGAGCAACCTTTACAAAAGATTTGAGGCAATTTGATTGAGCGCAAATGAGCGAAAAAGCGTGAGCAACAACAGCGAAGCCGAACGAACAAAAAAGAGTTCAAAAGCTCTGACCCGATTTGAGCACAACAAATCCGTCGCAGCAAGATACACCCTGACGCAAAGCGACAAAGCTGTCGCCGCGCGATAATAGCTGACGTGGCATGTCAGTCTTGAGGATTCTACAGAATAATCGGTTGGACAATGATTACCCTACTTGATGCCTCGTAACAAAAGCAACTTGATTTTATTAATGATTGGCCCGATGACGATCATATTTGATTGATGATCAGCTTGATTACGATCACATTTTTATTACACATTGAGTGAACACCTTCAATTAGTAATCGACCCGATTTTAATATTGATTGATGATCGGCCTGATGACGATCGCTTTATTGATTGAGAACGCCTAAAAATTGGCAAAGAATACTTTATTAAAGCGCCTAAACATTGGCTCACTACAAAGCACAAGCGCCTAATCATTGGCTCATTACACTTAAACGCGCCTAAGCATTGGCAGAGCATATTACACCTAAACATTGGTTAAGCATATCTAATACACTTAAGCATTGGTCAAGTCCACCTAAGCATCGGTTGGGCGTACTTCATCACACCTAACCATTGGTCAAGTCTACCTAAGCAATTGTTGGGTGCATTTCATTACCCCTAAGAATTGGTTAATCCCGCTTAAGCATTGGCGAGGTTTGAGGATTGCAAGGCATTGTGGTCTTCGACGACTTTCCCTAGGGTGTGGAGGTTGTCGGTATTAATTGGTCACATAAAAGCAATGGCGAGATTTTGAAGATGGCGACACACTGCGGTCTTAAACGATGTCTCGAAGCATGGAGGAGATTGTCAACAGCGGCGAAGCACTGCCACAACATTTACAACAGCGGCGAAACACTGCCGTGGCGAAGCACGGCCACAATGACGACAATAGCGGCAAAGCACTGCCGTGGCGAAGCACTGCCACAAAATTGAAGATGGCGAAGCACGTTCACCTTCAACGATGTCCCGAAGCATGGAGGAGATTGTCAACAGCGGCGAAGCACTGCCGTGGCAAAGTACTGCCACAAAATTGATGATGGCGAAGTACGGTCACCTTCGGCGATGTTCCCTAAGGCGTGGAAGATTGTCACTACAAATGAAGATAGCGAAGCACTGCTGTCTTCGATGGCGTTCACTGAGCATTGTGGAGGTTGTTAAATAATTTTGGGTTTGACAAGATGTGTGTACTCAACAGTGTAAGATAAGCGTTTCGAACTCCTTTATTTGTATAACTAACTCTAGATTGCAGGTATCGGTGTTAAAAAGAATGATTTAGGATCGCAGAACGTTCTGAATCATTCTCCGTCCCTATCGATACTTTGAATTTTGTTTTTGAAACATACGTTTCTCCATACTTAGTCAAAGTGGGGGCTTCTGTAGACACCTGTTTGTGTCTCCCCAAAAACCAAACCTAGTGATGAGTACCTTTCACGTCTTTCATTATCGAGTTAGGTGAAGTGTTAGGTGAATTTCCTAAGCTTTTACCATTTATAACCTTTCTTTAAATGGTTTAAGCCAAAATCATTTATTTCGTGCCTTTGAACCCAAAATAATTCATTTCGTGTCTTTGAAAATCGTTCATTTTGTGTCATCTTTATAAAAACGTCAAAATTAGTTTATTTTAGTCCATAATCCTGGTCCAATAATTGTGTAGTTGGATGGAGCTTGAAAAGAGTTTACAAAAATATATTATAAGCCCAAACCGAACCTTACCTACAACCCAATGATCATGTGGAGGGTCCATTAACCTTTAACATCATTCCTAAATCTCTTAGGATTTATTATTAGTTTCTAGAATCCTCTAGAAGTTTCTAATTATCCTCTTTTTGAAAAGATTAAATTAGAAAATTTTACTTCTAATAAAATACTTGTTTTTAATAGATTTAATTCAGAAAAAATAAAGATAAGTACGGATATTCTACTAACCCAATTTGATTGGAAGTCGGATTCCGTACGGATCTTATCTTCTGAAAAGCATCGCGTAGCGATGAAAATATCGCACAGTGATGGATCTATCGTCACGCGACGAAAGGCGTTTTACTCCAAGTCGGATTCTGACTCTTTTTCTGATCTTTTCCCTCGTTTTTTTATATAAATAGGGATGTTTGCGTTCGTTTTCATTCACCAACAATCATCATCTTAATCCCTCTCTAAGCTATAAGCCTCTATCTCTCTCTTTTTCTTAGCCTTAGCCTAAACACATCACACATGATACAACCTTTGTGAGACTTGAATACTATTAGCCCTTCTCGTAGTTGCCTTTGACCTCGACGTGAAAGGTCGATATTTCTGAGGGTTTGGTCCCTAATCCTTAATTCAATTCCTATTTGATTTATTTGTTTGATTTGATCTTTCTTGAAGTTACTAACTCGTGTATTGTTTTAATAGAAAGAAACATGAAATGAGGCATCAAAGTGAGTAGATCTACTATTATAATTATTCTTTTGATATAGAAATCATGTTTAGAATTTTATATTAATTTCTAGTATCATGTTAGGATGTTTATTAATATTTCTAATATCATGCTTTCTAGTATCATGTTTAGGCTAGAGCTTTAATCTTTATTATTTAGTGACATGCTAGGGTTTGTTATTAATCCTTTTAGTATCATTCCTAGGATCTTTTTATTTATCATGATGATGATGATTTGTTGTGTCAATAATCTTACATTTCTTGATTATTTTATGATTTATTGTTATTTCTTGATCATGCCCTTTTTGGCAGGTTTAATAGGAATTTGTACTTGAATCACGCCCAATAAGATAATTAATAATTTGATTTAGGCTTAATATGATTTTAATTTCAAGTGATCGCCAATAATAGATTTATTTGTGCATTAATAATCTACCAACATAGATTAAACAGGTTTCAGGTAACTTGTTGTATGTATGTTGATCGGAAAGCGCACATGAATATTGGCTTCGGCTACTACTAATAATTTTCTATTCTAAAAAGTAAACATACATAACCAAGAACTTAACTAAACAACCATCAACACCAAAACAATATAAACAATACGATCGAAATTCCTAGGAGTAAGTCGATAAGCATAAGAATCGATCGAGGACTCAGTCGTTCCATAACCAGATTCATCATCATTAGCATCCATACCACCACCCCCACCATCAGAACTCGATCATCATTAGCATCCATACCACCACCCCCACCATCAGAACTCGAACTCTCCTTAAATTCATCATCATCTCTACCATCTTCTACATGTTTGGTCTCCTCCTCATCACCATCTTCACCATCATCATCTTCATCTCCATCTTCGTCATCTTCATCATTTGGTTCGTTCTCTGCCTGCACCATCTCCACATCTTCCAAAACTTCCGCATGCTCCTCACCAGCATCCCGACCCATCAAATTCACTCCTCCCTCTGCATTCCTCATTTCAGAAGGCTCTTCACTTCCCCCACCCGGGAACGCACCCTAGGAACCATTTCATCAACTTCTCAATAAATTTCACCAATGCGCTGCCTCCGAATCTGACGTAGTTGCTTACTCAACGCCAATAATTCCTGTAACTTACAATTATGCTCGGTCGTAAGTTCAGCCAATTCATTGAGTAACTGTAGAACACGGGCTCTCAAAGCATCATAATTACCATCACCAGAACTACCATTGTTAGCCATTTGAAAGAATTAAATGAAAGAAAAAACAGAGAAAACCAAAAGAATATATAAACCCTTACAAACAAACCGACAAATAAAATAGGAAATATAAGCAAGTTAAGCCTGACTTTTAATTACCGAATTTCATAATTGCATTGCAATATAAAACATCGTATCCTTTCACATACCGTCACTTTACGCCGTCTAAACTATTAGAAACAATGCACTACGCCCTCAACATGTCTAAAGTTACACAAATCACCTACTATTATCTTATAATTGAAACTACAGTTTTAAAGCACTTATAAATTCAAGGATCAAACACATGACAATTGAAAAAAGATTTTTTATATATTAAAATTGCACGAATATGAAATTTAATGAGGAATTATAAAAACTTTCATTAGATATTAAGAAAATCATCTAAAATACAAGTAAATTATTGTTATTAGTCCTTCATCGTAGGTTATCCACTAATCAATATATATTAATAAACTAGATTAGTACCCGTGCTATGCACGGTGGTGATAAAAAATAATTTTGAATTATTCTTATATATCCTGTGTTGTTGATAACTTTTTAACATGACTTGGCTCGCTTTATTATTTTTTTTTTATTTTGTAAAAAAAAAATTAGTTATTTAAACATAAAAAAAAAAAACATGTATATTATCCCTTTTTTTTAATGGTTATAATTTAATGCTACATCGTATGGAGTGATATTTATTATCTTATGGAAAATATACTAAAATGATGGTTAGACAATTTTTCTTTTAATATTACATTATCTAATGAGCTTATATGTTTAGAGTGGAACCACAACAATATTGATGTCAAAGTCAAGTTTCTGATTTTGACTTTAAATTCATACCTACTCGGTCCCAGTTTCTAACATGTTAAATGTTAAATTAAAAGGGGAAAAAAATAATGAAATCATACTTAAATTTGGAGGGAAAATTTTTAATTATAGCTTGCCACATATGACATTTTAGGAATTGATGACATCATCATGTTTTGTTTTAGTAATAGTTAATAGATAACCTTATCATAAATTCGAATAATTAGCTATTACACAAATTCATACTAAACGTGGAGGGGTTTGGATTACATTTGATAGGAAATAGGAAGTAAAAGAAATCCTAGAAATAAATAAATGCAACTACAAATAAATGAAAGGAAAAAAAGTTACTATCAATAAATGAAATCCAAGCTCGAAAGACTGGAAATGAATATGGTAAAAAAATATATTTAAAATGCAACTATCAATTAATGAAATCCTTAAACAACTAAGACGAAAAAAAATACGAAATATAAGCTAGATAAAGAAAAACCAATAATAAATCAACTATTGTGAGGATTCGAACCTAGGACCAAGTTCTAACCTCTATATATATCTAACCATGAAGCCAATAAAACCTCATCCATGAAGCCAATGCTATATTAACGTTTGTACTTCCAAGTATAATTTATATATTACCTTTAACAAATTCTTGTATTTTACCCCAAAAAAGAACTTGATATTTTTGGTTTGATTTTTGGGGGACATTTATCATCCAAATTTTCTTAGTGGCTCCGCCACTGGTTTAGTGTACTTCCTCTTAAAATTAACGTATATACTTAATTAATGTACTTGTAATAAGGTGAATGATCCTAAAGTCGTAAAAATCACGGCGAAATCGTTATAATAGATTTCAATTTCCCGAGTTATTGAATTTCAAGAAACAAATGTTGATGCAAATTAAAATATAATGGACAACAATAAAATAATATCACCTCCTTATCATTTACTAAATTAGGTGTTTGTGAAAGTAGACTTTATGGTTTTACAAGTTGGTCATAATATCTATAATTTCTACTCCAACACCCTTATATCTATATAATAGGTACTTAATAGGCATATATAGTAAGAAATATTTATTAAACAAGTAAGGACATTTGTGTTTCCTTTGTTTTACCAGTAAGAAAAAGAGTACACACCAAGGTTTCTATTTTTCCAATTATAATAGTAATACTAGTATCAAATTCGTACATTTTTTGTAACATATATATTTTAATTATACTAACTTTGTGTTGTTATTTGGCTAAAAAAGCTAGATAGGGTGACTTCGAAGATGGTAAAGGGGAGGAGACTAGTGAAAAAGAAAACGATTCGGCAAAGGAGAGAGGAGGTGACTATGGCACGGTTGGAAGACTTGCTCAATCAAATCGATGAAAAAGGGCAATATGACGTTAAGCGCCTTACCGGTACTCATTATGTTCTAGAACGTCAAAAATCAATGTTGCGAGGACACCAACTTAGTACTATCACTCGCCTTGGGTATGGGGCCGTCTCGGGTATTACTTGCCATCCCGAGTATCCGTTCTTAACACCTATGTCACTCGGGAGGGCTACAAATTTTAGGAAAGAGGTGTATTGTTATATTTTTTACCTCCTAAATTATTGCAAAATGTGCTTTAGCTTTAACCTAGCTCACCTAAGACACACTTTACTTAATTGCTTTATGTTTTCCTACTTAAATCGTTTCCTAAGAAGAGTCTTTGAGTTTTTCATGCCCTTGGAAGATTGGCTACTCATGATTCAAGAAAAAATGGCACCCCACAATAATGACTGTACTGTTTAGGGTTTGTTAGTGTTGGGTGGGAAATTCCTTGATCCCAAGAAAGACCTCGACAAACCCGTCTTAACTATGGAGTGGGTTGGCTTCTCTCATGATGATTTTTCTGAAATTTATTGCTTAATTAGTTATGGATATGATGCAAAATATGTCCAATTCAAGGCAATGATGTTACTGAAAAATGGTTATGATCCTAATGCCCACAAGGCTCTTTGTACGGCCAACCCCTTCAACACTAAGGACTACCCAGAGGAGTACCAAAAAGTGTTGGATTTTGCTGGGAAAGTACGGACAAGGAATAACTATTTTGACACTTATGAGGAGCTAACTTCGGCCGATGAATGGAATGATGAAGATGAAGCTTATGAGACCCATTCCTCAGATGATGATTGGGAATAAAAAAGGCGAAGATGATACCAAAAGATGATATATCAAGTTAAGATGATACCAAAGATGATAGCGAAGATGATATGGAAAGCGACAATGATGTAGCATTTAAGGAAAATGAAGAGATGTAGACTATTTTGATGAATAATTATTAGGGTTTTGTTGTTTGTCTTATTTAATTTAAATTAATGATACTATTAAACTATGCATGTATGAGGAACTTTCCTATAAATTATGGGTGTAACGATGGTTATCGGGGTGTACTTGTGTAGGTTAGTATTTGAAGTTTTTGTCACTAAAATTCATTAAGTACAATAGGTCCTATTTTTCATTGTATTGATCTCATCCCTCTTGTAAGAGGCCTCATTATGATAATATTATTAATTAAAGTTTTACTTATATGTTAGTTGATATTTATGTATACATGATATTTTTTTGATGATTTCTGTAGAGTGATATGGTGTCATACTTAAGTAGATAGAAATGTAATTTCAATATCACAATTGTCACTTAATTAGACTTGGAAAGTAGTGATATTAACTCTTACATTATTTTGAGTTTTTATGAAAGCTATACAGGTATATTACATCATACCAAGTGTTTTGGATTTTACAAGTATATAAAAGAATTTTTATTAGGTTGACAGAAATATAAAGTTAGGGGTGTCTAAATACAAATGTCATATGAATGACTAGATAAAGGGTGGATGACTTTAAATAATAAATAAAAAAAAGTCAAATTAATAATTAAAATAAATAGGTATGCAAACCATACAATAAGATAGAGTACACTATCTTGCATTTTGATTGATGAAGACCCCAGAGTATAAAATCTAATCAAAGTATCCATTTTGCCTTTGGCATAAAAGTATACTTGAGCATTTATAAATTTTATATATGGAGTTAAATTATTAAAAAAGTATAAGAAATTATTACGGCACTAATACTGAAATTATCGGATATAATTAATTAAATAACTAAATATATTAATATAGTGTTTATTATAGTATTTGTCCTTAATATCTTTAAATTTTGTTGTTATATCTAACTACGTTGGAATTCTGTGAGTACTTATATCTAACTAATTAATTTTGGAATGTTTTTATTTTTTTTCTAATTAGCAGTATGACTTGCTTAGTTTGAACATATGCTCCCTTACCATAAAATGTTAATATTTAGATGAAGAAAAAACAAGGATGCATTAAATTAGTCTACTTATATGCAAAGGAACATGTCACATACTTTCGGTTTAGATAAATATTGTTGTGTTTGCTTAGCTTTAGTTTTTGTACATGCTTTATCTAGGCAAGTATTGGCCCTTATTGAGTTTATCGCAATTTTTGGATGTCGAGAGAAGGGCAATTTTGATTAGAATACTATTGTTGCCTCATATGTGTACAAAAAGGTCAGAAGTCAACTAAGGTCTTTTCTTCATCATTAAAGAACTTGCCAGTATTTTGGTGTTAAGAGTTACCTACAAAATTCAATGCATCCAACTACTTTGTTCTCTTATTTCTATCCTTTTTTTTCTCTTACATTTCTATGTCATTGTTTTTATTATATTTCTTTTTTTTTAAAAAAAAAAAGAGTTGTTACTTATATTTTATATAAACAGTAATTGTACAAAGTATGAATATTAAGTGTTACCCTTTATGAACACAAAATCAATTTAATGATTTTTGCAACACCTATATATATATATGATGAAAAGTCCTAGAAGAATCTGGCGGGAAATAAGTACATGTTTTCCTTCCAAGATTGTCACCTACTTAAGCTATGTCCAAGCCCTTGAAGTTTACAATTAAAACATATCCCTTATTTTTATTATAACCCTATCACCTCAATATTACGGAATAAAACCCGTTCAACTAATCCAACCGTCACGACTGACCTCGCTTGTGTTGCAACAAGGCAGTGTCTATGCAATCCTCCATTTGTGGCTGAATTTCGCATTTCGATGTTCGAAACAAACATGAATTGGCCATACTACAAATGCAGACGTTGCGACTGCTGGGATTAGGCAACTGATTCGGATTTGGTTCACACACCTCCACAAGATGGTTTCCGGTACTTCATGCATAGGCTCGAGTTCCTTGAAAGGTCTCTTACAACTGTGATGAAGATATCAGTGACTATTGCAATTGTCACTGCGGTTCTTATTTTGAAAGGCTTTTAAATATTGGTCAATAATGTTTGTTGTTACCATAATTCCTTTTAATGTTTATGCATTATGTTTTGTGTCTTTATTTAAAATTTACTACTTAGGGACAATATTTTGGTGTTAAGAGTTTATGTAGCATCAAATTTCACTTTGTTTCAGGTGTCAAAGTGAAGTACGTTTGACTAATTATTATGCTTCCTTACAAATTCAAAGTATTCGGTTTCATAAGTATGTGTCTTTCTTATGTGCCTACAAAAAAATTTATCGTTATGATTTAACTATTAGCTTTTCAACTTATGATTCATACAAATATCATCTTATGTATCATGCATTCTTATTAATTTATTTATTAAGCTCATTTTTTTTTCTTAAAACATATTATTAACCATAAAGATGTATCATTGATCGACATGTCAATCAGCTAAGAGTCAAAGCTATCTTCTTTTATTTTTTTTTATGTAACAATAGTAAGGGAAAAAGGGGGGATATAGGGGTAACAACAAATAAAAAATTATCAGTGATGCATTAGATTAATGTAAGCAATAAGTATATATAGGTGACTCAAGTCATTTAATTGATTTTTTTTTTAATATGTTTTAACAAGTGATTCATTTGATTAATAGATACTTGGTAGTCAGTCCTCAAATTTTAGTAATAAAACAGATTAAACCGAAGTTCCATAAAGTTTAACAAAATGCAACATTTAGTAGCCGTACATTAGAAGTTAATAGATTGTCCATTAAAGTCGAACATTAGATTATTAGACTAAATCCACGCTCGTCTTGAATCTCAGCTAATATTTCAGCTGCGTCATCTCCAGAAGAACTGCCACTTGAGGTGCTCATAGGGTCCTCGTCCTCTTCCTCCTCTTCTTCCTCCTCGTCCTCTTCCTTTTCATCTTCCTCTTCCTCATACTCAACCTTTGCCCAATGCATCTAAAAGATCACAATACTTAGAGTAAATTGAAGGCTAATTTTATCTAAAATAGTTAATGAATAAAACCTTGAATTTAAATATAATTTATAACTTAATCACCATATTTATTATACGCTAAACTCATTGTTTTTAATAGAATCTTACGCTAAAAAAGATAATGTAGGTGAAGTGAGTATATTCATTTATTTCAACCTAATAAGAACACTAAAGCCTAAAAGATGACAGAGCAAAAAATGGGAATCATTGTTTCAACATATCAAGCAAAAATCTAGCACAAACATACTTAAAGTGGGAGTTCAATCTATCTATGTAACACTTGAAGTCACTGACATGTAAATGTACCTCGACTAACAAAATCCACCTATATTCCTACCCTAGTTTACTGACCCTATCATTTTTATGTTACCATTTTTACTTTCAAGTTGAATTTAATATATGTTTTTTTATTTTTTACTTGATATCATTTTTACTTGCAGTTAAATTCTTATCAACCTAACAAGTAACAACTATTACTATCAAACTTAAAAGTTATTTTAAAACATTACGAAATATATAAAAATGTAAATAGTGAAAGCAAACAAATAAATTTCACTATCATGCATCTTGTAACATATAACTAGTGGAAATTGTACTTCCAAATAAATAATAAAACAGAAAACTAATTTTCTACATAATTTATTTAAATCTCAAATTTGTTTTTTTTACTTAACAAGATAATTATATTAACATAATACCAAATTAATAGAAAACATAGTAAAATAAAATAAGTTGGAGATCACCTCGTATATCACTGACACAGCTAGACCTTGATCATTATACCCCTTGTGCTCGAAGAAATGAATCAGGAGAACCGGATCCCACAATAAAGCCACCCCACCTATCCACCAGTCGAGCCAAAAACCTCAAGTTTGTAGTTAGTTCCCAACTTCCGTTGAACATAATCGAGGGCATCTTTAGATATACGGGTTTCGGTGAGTACGAACATTGAAGGTGAGTACTTGTGATACAAGAAAATAAAATTGTCTTCGAATGAGTTTCTTGTCATTCCCCGAAAATTCCACAACAACACAATAGTTCCTTCGGGGATTGGAGGCCTATTTTCAATATGAAATCTCTTTTCGGGCCTTACATGAGAAACAACGTAACGATTTTTGGATTTTGGTAATATCCAGGAACCAATATCAAGTTGGATTGTGTGAATCGTGGAACTCACCTCCATAGCATGCGCTCCATCGCTGTAGCCGCCCATAAAAATGGTAGTTGGAATATCCGGCACAGGCAACGTAACACTCGGTTGTGGATATATAAAGGGTTTAGGATCAATTACGACTTGGAGGTCCTATGGAACCACCAAATCACTTTCCCTTTGCATCCTCAGCATATCCCATAAGATGAACATCCTAGCCCACTTCTTTTGGCCGGCCATGTAATCTTCTTTTAAGGGGACACGTGTGATAAGCCTTCTTATCATGGGTTGAGAGAAGCATTTTAGGGTGTGTTTTGATGCTTTATATGTACTTTTGTTAGCTTTTGTGAGTTTTGGGCTGTGATCTCACTTATGTGCAAAAGGCGGGATTTATGAGTATAAGTGAGTGAGTGAGCTCGGGAACCAATGAAGAGTTATGTAAGAAGGATGGACCTTGGCTCGTGATTTGAGAGTTGTGATGGAGCATGGAAGAGCAAGGAAGAAAGCTTGAGGAAAAGGTGAAGCAAAGCAAGAAGAAGAAGCAAGGAAAGAAGGCGAAAACAGCAGGAACCGCTGCCAGGGCCGCTGGCAGCTGGCCAGAGCCGCTGGCAGCGGGTATACCAGAGTGAGGGGCTGCCAGAGCAGCTGCCAGCGGGTCCAGAGCAGCTGGCAGCGGCTCTGGCAGAAATTCGGGCTGTTTTGGTTAATTTTCAGCAATTTGGCTTTGTTTTGGCTCGTGTTTTGGATATTATTTTATTATTATTATTGTGTTATGTTATTAAAATATAGAAACATATAAATAGCTTAGTTTTAATTAAGTTTGAAGAGAGAAAAAGGAGAATTAAGTTTTGAGAAAAAAAAGCTTTCTAGGGTTTTCTTGGAATTTTCAGAATTCTTTGTTTTGGAATAAGAATCCATGGAAGCTTAATCTTCCGGATTCTTGGTTAAAGATTGAAGCTTTTAGCTACGAATTGTGAGATCTTTCTTCTCTTAATATCTATTGAATATATATTGTTCCTTGAATTAATTTCATGATTTGCTTTAATCAATTGCTAGGTTAGAATTATTGGATTCGCTTGCATCTAATTAATCTTTCCAAAGTAGCAACTTTAGGTTATTGATGCATGCTTTTGGTTGATAACTTGAAGAGGGAATAATATTATTGAAGAAATTAGACCGCTTGTGTTAATTTATTCAATCCTTGTTGATTTCTCCGTTTATTTTCTTCTTGTGGATAATTTAGAGCGCTTGTCTTGAATTGTGCATTGGAAAGGGTTAGAAAGGAGCCCTTTGCTATTTCTAACTATTTATGAGAATTTAGAATCTAGGAATTCTACAACAAGGTGTTCAATAGAGCTTGATTGAGGAGACTTCTATGATCAATTTGTATGTTCATTAGTGGATTTCGCATAACCAAGACCGTTCTTCTCATTGATTACCTATTCATTACGTTCGTTGTTCTTACTTAGTTCATTTATCATCATTGCTCGTGAAAACCCCCCTCGTTACTTAGGTTACTACCGTCCTAGAGTATTTCCACTTAGGTTTCCAGTTATTAGTCCCTTTTTCCCTGTGGATTCGAACTCGACTTCCCTAACTACGTTTATTTGCAGTTAGTTTAGTTGTGATATTTTTGGTTGCATACGACTGAGGCACACCAAATTTTGGCGCCGTTGCCGGGGACTTAGGCGTTACCGTTTAATTGTTTATCTTAGTAGAATTTATTTTAGGATTGTTCTTAGCTATTTTTTTCTTTGTTTGTTCGCTAGGGTATGATAAGTACCCGTTCTGCTAACAAAGAAGTTTTGCAGTTTGATCCAGAAATTGAAAGAAATATTTCCAGGTTGCGAAGAGAGGCAAGAACAAACCCCAGTGAATCAACATACATCTTCAACATTCAAGAAGAGGAAGTGATGGCAGAAAATCGAACACTGAGAGAGCTAACAGCTCCTAACTTGAACCAACAGCCGTTGTGCATCGCATATCAGCAGTTGGAGGAAGGTGCTAATGTTGAGATCAAATCTGGTCTAATTCATCTATTGCCGGCATTCCATGGCATGAAGGGTGAAGATCCAAATAAACATCTGGCAGAATTTCATGTGGTATGTACTAGCATGAAACCGATTGGGATGACTGATGAGCAAATTCAGTTGAGAGCATTTCCTTTTTCTCTCAAAGATGCAGCGAAGGATTGGTTTTACTATCTTCCCCCAGGGAGCATAACAAATTGGGCAGGTTTGAAGAAGTGTTTCTTAGAGAAGTATTACCCAGCCACTATTTCTGCAAGCCTTAAGAAAGCTATCAGCAATGTGGATCAGAAGGAAGATGAGTCCTTGTATGAGTATTGGGAGAGATTCAAGAGATTGTGTGCTAGTTGTCCGTACCATGGGTATTCCGATCAAGACCTCATCCTATACTTCTATGGAGGTCTAACAGATGATGATTTGAGGATGGTGAATGCAGCAAGTGGTGGAGGGCTAGTGAATAAGACTCCAGGAGATGCAACTAGGCTGATTGCAGAGCTAGCAGAGAATTCTAGGCAGTTCAGTCAGAGAACCCCCACGCGCCGGGTGAATGCAGCAAATTCAAATACAACTGAGTTAGAGAGTCAAGTAGCTGATTTGACTTCTATGATGCGTGAGTTCATGGTGAACTCAAGGAATCCACAGCAACTGAATGCTTGTGGTTTATGCACCTCCACAGGACATCCCACTGATGCATGTCCTCAATTACAAGAGGAACAGAATGAGCAGGCCAATGCAATGGGTTTCCAAGGGCAAGGTCCTCAGAGAAGATATGATCCATATTCGAATACATACAATCCAGGATGGAGGGATCATCCAAATTTGAGATATGGGAATTCCCAGGGGAACCAACAACAACAGCAAAATGCTCAAGGCCAGCAGCAATATCAGCAATATAGGGCACCATTAGCCAAACCTCAAGGCCAAAGCTCAAATTCGAGTAATATGTCAACTGATGAAATGATTAGATCACTAACTTCTAATGTTTCTACTATGCAGCAAAACATGGTGCAATTCCAGCAAGAGACCAAATCCAGTATTCAGAATTTGGAAAGTCAAGTGAGTCAAATTTCAAGTGCAGTGAGCAGACTTGAAGCTAAGGATTCGGGAAAACTTCCATCTCAAACGGAGTTGAATCCTAAGCAACAAGCCAACGCTATTACATTGAGAAATGGCAAGGAGCTGAAAGAGACTGAAATTGCAACTAAGAGGGCTGAAGAGTTGATTGGAGCTGAGGAGAAGGAAGTGGAACATGAAGCTGTAGCAAATCCTCCCACTTTTCCATCTTATGAACCCACACCACCTTTTCCTGAAGCTTTGAAAGAAACGAAGAGGTATGAGAAGGACAAAGATATCTATGAAACATTCAGCAAGTGTGAGGTAAACATTCCCCTTTTGAATTTAATAAAGAGTGTTCCTCGATTCGCTAAATTTTTGAAAGAACTTTGTACTATTAAGAGGAAGCACAGGTTAGGAGGGAAGGAAAAAGTGAAAGTCAGTGCTCATGTTTCTGCAGTTTTCCAAAAGAAACTTCCTGAAAAATGCAGTGACCCTGGTATGTTTACTGTTCCAGTTACAATAGGGGACACCACTTTTCATAGAGCAATGTTGGATTTGGGTGCATCAATTAATGTTATTCCATATTCACTGTTCAAATCTTTGGAACTTGGACCCTTACATGACACCGGGGTAGTGATTCAATTAGCTGATAGATCAAATGTTTATCCTAAGGGAGTAGTGGAAGATGTGCTTGTGAAAGTTGATGAACTAATTTTTCCTGCTGATTTTTATGTGCTTGATATGGAACATGATAGACAAGCAGTACCCATCTTGTTAGGAAGACCTTTCTTGAAAACTGCTAGGACTAAAATTGATGTTTTTACTGGTTCTTTGACTATGGAGTTTGATGGACAAGAAATTGTGTATAACATCTATGATTCCATGAAATACCCTGTTGACACTCATTCTTTGTGTTCCATTGATATCATTGATCCTATAGTGCAGGATGTCTTCAATGTTGAGGGCGAGGATGCGCTCCTCACTTCCATTTCTAATAATTTATCTGCTGATTGTTTGGATATTCCTTTGCCTAATAGTGTGCAGATGATGGTAGCAGAGTTGAATGGTCATTCCAAGCTTCCACTTAGACCACCAGGTTCGACACCTACCCCATTGACAGTGCCTACTGATAAACTCTTACCTTCTGTTTTGCAGGCACCCCAGGTGGAGCTAAAACCACTTCCTGATCATTTGAAATATGTGTTCCTTGGTCAGAACGATACTTTACCTGTTATAATTTCAAGCAAATTGACCAAGGAGCAAGAGGACAAGTTGGTGACAGTGCTGAAAGAGCACAAGTTAGCTATTGGATGGACCATTGCAGACATTAAGGGAATAAGTCCATCCACTTGCATGCATCGTATTCTGTTAGAAGATGATGCCAAACCTGTGAGGCAACCTCAGCGTCGCCTAAATCCTCCCATGATGGACGTGGTAAAGAAGGAGATCATAAAATTATTGCAAATAGGAATGATATTTCCTATATCTGATAGTAAATGGGTCAGTCCTACGCAGGTGGTTCCTAAGAAAAGTGGTGTGACTGTGGTAGAAAATCAACAGGGTGAAATGGTTCCTACTAGAGTTCAAAATGGTTGGCGAGTTTGCATTGATTATCGTAGGTTGAATGCAGTAACTAGGAAAGACCATTTCCCTTTACCTTTTATTGACCAAATGATTGAAAGACTTGCAGGGAAATCCTATTACTGTTTCCTTGATGGGTATTCTGGGTACTTTCAAGTGCCCATTGCACCTGAAGATCAGGAAAAGACAACTTTTACATGTCCTTTTGGCACATTTGCTTATCGCCGTATGCCTTTTGGCCTATGTAATGCACCTGCAACCTTTCAGAGATGCATGATGAGCATCTTTTCTGAGTTTGTTGAGCATTTCATGGAGGTATTTATGGATGATTTCACTGTGTATGGTGATTCTTTTGATAAATGCTTGCATCACTTATCTATGGTCCTCAAAAGATGTATTGACTCTAACCTTGTCTTGAATTCTGAGAAATGTCATTTTATGGTCCAACAGGGCATTGTGTTAGGTCATGTAGTTTCTTCTAGAGGTATTGAGGTTGATAAGGCTAAGATTGACACTATTCAGTCTCTTCCTTATCCTACTAATGTGCGTGAAGTGCGTTCTTTTCTTGGCCATGCAGGTTTCTATCGTAGGTTCATTGAGGGATTCTCAAAGCTTGCAAATGCTATGTGCAAATTGCTGCAGAAAGATGTGAAATTCCACTTTGATGATGATTGCAAGAAGGCTTTCGATGAATTGAAGGCTAAGCTCATTTCTGCCCCTATCATTCAAGCCCCAGATTGGTCTCGACCATTTGAGATAATGTGTGATGCGAGTGATTATGCAGTTGGAGCTGTTTTAGGCCAGAAAGTAGGGAGGGCATCTCATGTGATCTATTATGCCTCAATGACCCTCAATTCAGCCCAACGAAACTACACTACCACAGAAAAAGAGTTGTTAGCTGTAGTATTTGCTCTAGAAAAGTTTCGATCTTATTTGCTTGGTACTAAAGTAATTGTTTTCACTGATCATGCAGCTCTTCGCCACTTGATGACGAAGAAAGAGGCCAAACCAAGACTAATAAGATGGATTCTGCTCTTATGTGAGTTTGAGTTAGAAATCAAGGACAAGATAGGCGCGGAAAATCTAGTTGCTGATCATTTGAGTCGTTTGACCCATATTGTTGATCAACCATCATTCCAATATCAAATCCTAGGAGAATTTCCGGATGAATCTCTATTTGCTCTTAAGGATTTGCGCCCTTGGTTTGCTAACATTGTGAATTTTCTGGTTTCTCAACAGTTTCCTCCAGGTTTCACGAAGTCTCAAAAGGACAAGCTTCGAACTGATGCGAAGTACTATGCATGGGATGATCCATACTTGTGGAAGTTCTGCTCCGATCAAATCATTCGCAGATGCATCCCCGAAAATGAGGTGATCCCCATTCTCACCTTCTGTCATTCTCATGCTTGTGGAGGACACTTTGGAGCCAAACGCACAGCAAGGAAGGTTCTCGACTGTGGTTTTTACTGGCCAAGTTTGTTTCGAGATTCCTATGGATTTTGTAAATCCTGTGATAATTGCCAGAGAGTAGGTAACATTTCCCAGAAAAGTGAAATGCCCCAATCCTCTCTTCTATATTGTGAAATATTCGATGTTTGGGGTATAGATTTCATGGGACCATTCCCTATTTCTTACGGTTTTACTTATATACTTCTTGCTTGTGATTATGTGTCGAAGTGGGTGGAAGCAATACCCACTAGGACTGATGACTCTAAAGTGGTTTCAGGTTTTATCAAAGCTTACATATTTTCTAGGTTTGGAATCCCAAGGGCGTTGATAAGTGACCGTGGAACACACTTTTGCAACCGTACAGTGAGTGCTTTGTTGAGGAAGTACTCTGTTCACCACAAAATCTCCACGGCTTATCACCCACAAACCAATGGGCAAGCCGAGGTGTCCAATAGAGAGGTGAAGTCAATTCTGCAGAAAACGGTGAATCCGGATAGGAAGGATTGGAGTTTGAGGTTGGAGGATGCTCTATGGGCGTACCGCACCGCATACAAAACACCTATCGGGATGTCCCCTTACCGCCTTGTCTTCGGAAAACCGTGCCATCTACCGGTTGAGCTTGAGCATAAAGCATATTGGGCGGTTAAGTCATTCAACATGCAAATGGATGAAGCAGGTGAACATCGGAAATTGCAACTCCAAGAACTAGAGGAGATCCGGCTTGAGTCCTATGAGAATGCAGATATTTATAAAGCAAAGACCAAGCTATGGCATGATCGAATGATCACGCGGAAGGAGTTTAAAGTCGGTGACAAAGTACTCCTATATCAATCCCGACTTAGATTATTTCCGGGAAAACTTCGGTCCCGTTGGGAGGGCCCTTTTCAAGTGGTGAATGTATATCCGCATGGAGCAGTTGAAATTCAAAGCCCCGAGACCGATAAGGTTTTCAAAGTCAATGGACAAAGGCTCAAACCCTACTTCGAGGGTTTCAAAACCGAGAACGTGGAGAGCATCGATCTCTACGAGCCATCAATGGAGTAGCGAAGTGGGATGAGCCGCGTCGAGCTAACGACGTAAAACAAAGGCGCTAATCGGGAGGCAACCCGATCGAAAACTCTTCCCCATTACTTTTCGTAGTTTAGTTTTATTTTTTTCGTGTGATGTGAAGAGTGTTTTTATTGTTTTTGTGTAGGTGGAGGCCTTGGGAGCAATTTTTATGCGCGAAACGCAGCAAACACAGAGCAAAACAGAAACAAAGGGGCCTTCCCTGCAGAAGCCGCTGGCAGCTGCTCTGCAGCCGCTACCAGCGGGTCTTCTTGCAGCCCAAACCCCTTTGTTTCTGTCCCAGCCGCTGGTAGCTGCTCCTGAGCCGCTGCCAGCGGGCCCCCCTCTACGTTTTGTTAAAAAAAAAAAAAAAAAAAAAAAAAAAAAAAAAAAAAAAAAAAAAATCTGCCAGAGCCGCTGGCAGCGGGCCTCAAGCCGCTACCAGCGGCTCCTACAGCTCTCCCCGATTTTTTTTCCCCTTATTTCCCCTTTTCCAAACTCCAACTTCATTATCCCCCAATTCACATAAACCCTTACTCCTTTTCTTCTCCTTTTCTCTACTCATTCATTCCCCTACTCCAATTATACCAAATTCCTACCAATTTCCCTTTCCCAAATCTTCATCTTTCATCAAATTCTCAATTCCCATCACAATTTCACCTAAGGTTTACCATTTTTCTTGATTTCAATTGTGAAATTGGGTTGGTTGTGTGGAATTGCAAGCTTAATTTATTTTCATTGAAGGTGAAGGTGAAGGTGCAAGTGAACATATTCCTTTTTATAGCCATGGGTAGAGACAACAAGAGGTCTAAAGAATCATCTCCATCAAGACCCTCAAGGGGCAAGAGGCAAGGGGCTTCTTCAAGTCAAGGGGAGGCACCTCCATTGCCTCAAGGGGATGGTTTCATGGGTGTTCGGTTGCATTCCAAGGAGAAAGGCGTATGGACTAAGCTTCAACAACCCCGACGAACGGTGCAATGCACCAAGTTCTTTGACTTAGAAGCTCTACAAGAGCTAGAGATGGAGGAAGGAGTGCGGCTCTTGCTAAGGAACGTGGGTCTCGAGAATTTCATGACCAAATGCGCTCCCACCTATGTCAGGTATACATATGAATTCCTTTCAACGCTTACTAAAGGACGTGAACAAATATCCTTTAATTTGAACAATAGGAATTATGTGATGTCTTATGATGATTTGCGTATGGCATTTGGTTGGGATGCACCCCCATTGGTGAACCATTGGGGTGATTATAGCACGTACTCGTCCCGAACATTTTGGAGGGCTATAACTGGTTGTGAAGTTGACCCTCATGGTGATCATAGCTTCAAGATCACTCACCCATGCCTTAGACTCGTTCATAGGTTTATTTCGTCCACCATACTATGTCAAGGAGAAGCTACTAAGGTCCCCAAAGTTACATTATCTTATTTGTGGGCGATGACCCCTGAGGGTGTCGGCACCCCCAATTGGGTCGATATTTTTGTAGATAGCTGTGTGAAAGTGCGGTCAAATTCAAGTGGCCATATTAGTATGGGTGGCATGGTCTCTTTGCTAGCCTGTTATTTGAATGTTCCACCCCCTGAGGATCTTGTGCCAGTAGATTCGACATACTTGACATATAACATCATGACTTTGGTCAAGATCGGTTTATTATCGCGTTCCCCCGTCGCCGGTAGTTATTTCTGGCGATACGGACCGCAGGGTTTGAACTATTTGAGACTTCCTCGTCCCGAGGGACGAGCATTACCTTTTGGCCCTACTGCTGCAGACTTTTTCCTTCCGCCCGACCCGGATGTTGCTCCTTATTTGGGAGATGCTGAAATCATAGTTGAGAACATGGGAGAGGAGAATCCCGATGTTCATATGGGCGGAGAGTTTGTTGATGAGGAAGGGGGTGAGGAGGCTGCTGGAGTGCAGCACGATGATTGGCCTCGATGGAGGGCTGATGTGGATGATAGACTAGAGGAGGTGTGTGATGGGATGCACGAGCTGCTTGCATATCAAAGAAGCATGAGTCGGTTTTACACCACTCAGTATCCGCAGTATGAGCCTCCAACTGAGGCATTCATGGATCATTTGGCATCCCGTGCTTTGCGTCGTTCCGAGAGGCGTGCTTCTCGGGGCGATGCCGGCTCTTCTGGCTCTGGAGGTCCCTCTCATTGAGATGGTAACGATTTTCTTCCTTTTCCCTTACTTTTGGTTTCATTGTAGTTGTTCTTGCATCGAGGACAATGCTTCATTCAAGTAGGGGGGGGGGGGAAGAAATTCTTGCATATATTCTTTGAATTTTGTATAGTTATTTTGATTTCATGTTTTGTATAACTATCTTAATTGTGGTTCAATGAAGCAAGTTTGAAAAAAAAAAAAACAGAAAAATGAAAAGAAAAAAAAAAGGAAAAAAAAGAAAAAAAAAGAAAAAGAAACCCGCTAAGTCGAAAACCTGAAAAGGCGGCTTAGGCAAAAATGGGGGCCCGGTTAGGTTGAAAACCCGAAAGGGCGACCTAAGCAAAAAAGTGGCTAATGAGTGGGTGAGAAAGTGAGATTTGGAAAAAGATGAGAGGCTAGGATGAAAACCCGAAAGGGCTCCTAGGCAAAATGAGAGAAAAAAGAGAGAAATGTTCATGAATTTGATTTTTCAAGGAAATTTCGCATCTATTTGCCGGAGTCGGTGTCATAAGGGGAGGAGATATAAGGAGGTGTCGGGGTAGGTTTCATCTTGGTGATTTTGGGAGATAGTTGAGATTTTGGGGGAATTTGTTGATCATCTTAGGAATTTGAGAGCATGAGTTGTTTGTTTTCACTCTTGAATGTGGAAGTGTTTTTATGAGATTTTTGTTAAGTTGAGTTTTTGTTTGCCCAATTTTATCAAAAATTTCATTTCTTTAGGCGGTTGAGAATATTCATACTCATGGCTATGCGTTTATCGTTCCAAGTTGATTTTGGGGATGAATTGATAAATAAGAAAAAAGGGAGATTCAAAGTGTGAAGTATGGGGGAGTGTGATTGTGATTGGTTGATAAGTACTAGGATGTTTTGTTGAGTTTGAGTGCATAGAGCTAGTTTGATTCCACCATCTTCTGTTTTGAACCTTAGTGAGGAGGATGTGTTTTATTCTCTAAGTTTACTCGAGGGCGAGTAAAGGTTCAAGCATGGGGGAATTTGATAAGCCTTCTTATCATGGGTTGAGAGAAGCATTTTAGGGTGTGTTTTGATGCTTTATATGTACTTTTGTTAGCTTTTGTGAGTTTTGGGCTGTGATCTCACTTATGTGCAAAAGGCGGGATTTATGAGTATAAGTGAGTGAGTGAGCTCGGGAACCAATGAAGAGTTATGTAAGAAGGATGGACCTTGGCTCGTGATTTGAGAGTTGTGATGGAGCATGGAAGAGCAAGGAAGAAAGCTTGAGGAAAAGGTGAAGCAAAGCAAGAAGAAGAAGCAAGGAAAGAAGGCGAAAACAGCAGGAACCGCTGCCAGGGCCGCTGGCAGCTGGCCAGAGCCGCTGGCAGCGGGTATACCAGAGTGAGGGGCTGCCAGAGCAGCTGCCAGCGGGTCCAGAGCAGCTGGCAGCGGCTCTGGCAGAAATTCGGGCTGTTTTGGTTAATTTTCAGCAATTTGGCTTTGTTTTGGCTCGTGTTTTGGATATTATTTTATTATTATTATTGTGTTATGTTATTAAAATATAGAAACATATAAATAGCTTAGTTTTAATTAAGTTTGAAGAGAGAAAAAGGAGAATTAAGTTTTGAGAAAAAAAAGCTTTCTAGGGTTTTCTTGGAATTTTCAGAATTCTTTGTTTTGGAATAAGAATCCATGGAAGCTTAATCTTCCGGATTCTTGGTTAAAGATTGAAGCTTTTAGCTACGAATTGTGAGATCTTTCTTCTCTTAATATCTATTGAATATATATTGTTCCTTGAATTAATTTCATGATTTGCTTTAATCAATTGCTAGGTTAGAATTATTGGATTCGCTTGCATCTAATTAATCTTTCCAAAGTAGCAACTTTAGGTTATTGATGCATGCTTTTGGTTGATAACTTGAAGAGGGAATAATATTATTGAAGAAATTAGACCGCTTGTGTTAATTTATTCAATCCTTGTTGATTTCTCCGTTTATTTTCTTCTTGTGGATAATTTAGAGCGCTTGTCTTGAATTGTGCATTGGAAAGGGTTAGAAAGGAGCCCTTTGCTATTTCTAACTATTTATGAGAATTTAGAATCTAGGAATTCTACAACAAGGTGTTCAATAGAGCTTGATTGAGGAGACTTCTATGATCAATTTGTATGTTCATTAGTGGATTTCGCATAACCAAGACCGTTCTTCTCATTGATTACCTATTCATTACGTTCGTTGTTCTTACTTAGTTCATTTATCATCATTGCTCGTGAAAACCCCCCTCGTTACTTAGGTTACTACCGTCCTAGAGTATTTCCACTTAGGTTTCCAGTTATTAGTCCCTTTTTCCCTGTGGATTCGAACTCGACTTCCCTAACTACGTTTATTTGCAGTTAGTTTAGTTGTGATATTTTTGGTTGCATACGACTGAGGCACACCAACGTGCCGGAACGATATCACCTTTGGGGATTCTCATCAGACGGCGAGGATTTCCACCACCATAGTACGTCCAAATAGCCGTGGATTATAAAATTTCGTTATGAATAAACTCATTTGGTGTGGCATATCCATTGACATACACGAACTCATCCTCATAGTAGGTAGTCTTGTTCAAATCAGACTCCCGGGTGGTGCTTGTGCATGGTTTAAAATAATGCATGATTTTGGGGTGGAATTTTATTCTTGATGTGCAGCCAACTTCACGAGAGAACAACCGTGAAACAATTGACTTCCTTTTGTTGTTCATCTTGGAATTTAAGTTAATTTTTGAAGAAAAAAATTATATAAAGTTTTTGGTTTATTTTTTTTTTTTTTTTTTTTTTTTAAGAAAGTGATAAATAAGGTTAAAGATGATGGTAATGAAAGAAAAGGAGAAAGATGAAGGGGAGTAATTATTAAAGGGATATCTATGACAAGTGAAGGATGTTGGAGGAAGTGTAATAGGGAAAAGAATCGGCCCTTTTTTTGTCAATTCTTTTCTTCTTTGTTAGGTGTCACTTCATTAAGTGAAGGATTTTTTTTTTAGTATAGGTAAGGTAAGGTACTAAGTTGAATGTTATTGTTCATTGTTGATAAGGATTCATTGTTCCATATCCAAAAATAATAATAATAATAAAAAGGTGCAGAAATAAGAAGAAAATTTGAAAATTATACTTGTTAAAAAAAATTAAAAATTCTTAAAAATGTATATACTTGGTCAATTTATATAAC